AAATTACCTGACCATTAGCTGGATCGTAGAAAACACTATTCATTCTGCTAATCGGTTCAAAAACTAAGGGATCCTTGCATAAAAACGCAAAAGAATCCATCAAGCGTTCAACTGTGAGCAAACAAGTTAGAACAGGCAAAACGCTGTGGGCTAATTTAGCACGGAGTTGAAGGAGGTTGTGATGTAAAGAGAAGATATAAACACTGAAAACTACTAAAAGAGAAATTATGCAATTAAAAATGATACTTAGAGCAGTACTTGTGAAATTTCAATCTAAAATTTACAATGATTAGGAAAAAACACGTCAAAAGTAGCATAAAGTGAAAACTAGACTCTGTTAAAAATTGGCTTACTTTTTTAATGGAACAAAAAAACACTTTAAATTACAGAAACTTTACTAAAAAAATATCTTTTTTTTAAAAGAAACTGTAAAATCACTTTTGTCATTAAAATGTAAATTAATATTGCTTTTTGCATTTTCATCTGTAAAAGTTTAAAAAAATATGCTAGAAATTGATTTCGCATGGAATTCTCGAATTCAGTGTTTAGACAATGACAAACCGTGCGCGAGTTTTTGAATCATATTTGTAACCCAATCAGTTTATAAATCGTAAAGATGTTTTAAATTTTATCCCTTCCCGCGTAATATTGTCATTCTCACTCCCCCTGTGTCGTGTATTCGGTTGAATTTTACCATGCTCGGTTCTCGTGTTGTGAAAGGTATATTTTATATCATTTCTTTATCTTGTTGTGGGCACATTTTGCTAGAAATTTATCTGACGTTGTTTTTTGCGGTCCCCTTCATTATGCAATGCTGCATCCACCTCTGTTTGATAATCCCATATTTACTATGGGGTTAATATTTTAATGTAGTACACAATGCGACGTATTTATGGTACATTATATCGCTGTTATTAATGAAACCTGGTCACTTTCATTTCAACGCTTGTATGATTGTACTCATGGATAACGCCGCATTCTTGTTTTTGGTCGCAGGGATGTGCATAGCGGGACTGAATGAGGTACGGATTCCTCCTATCCAAAACGAAGAAAATTCGTTCTCAAGCCTATTTTTTACTATTGCGAATCCATTTGATGGTCGTCGTAAGTAGGGAGATGTCTTAAACGGTTTTATAGACTTCTATAGAAGCTCCCCATGCTCGAATTTTCAAGTAAGACATTTAAAATGTTTTTTTTTCTAATATATTTTTTTAGAGACCTCTCTGGGACTGCTCAGACATAGTCCAGCTCGATTCATTCCACAAGTCACTTCTAAGTAGGCAGGCAATTTAAACCTTTATACCACAGCCGTTGTCTTTCATTTTTATATTGTCCAGCATCGGCCACAGGATGATCTTGTATGTTCTCTCATCATAAACGTTGGCGATTTGCATCCTGTGAGTGCTGATGTAAGTTCATTTCACAGTTTCATTAAAGTTAGTTTCAGCGTGATTTTAATGAGAATGTCAACCAAGTGAAGAATCGAGTTCTCTTCTGTATTGGTAACGATTATTTTGAATGGATCCATGACATGGATATTGAATCTGCAGTATGCTTGCCATTTTTTTACTTTCCAACAAATTTTAGTTTCATCCCCTTCCGAAATCCTATGATGTTTCGCAGTTAAAACAGTATGTAGTTCATATTAATTTCGGGTTTTAACTTGCGGTTGTAGGATTCTTACTCTAGATAAAAAAATTCAGTTGGCAAAAATCAGATATAATGAAATTCAAGAGGATCTCCTGGTGTATCTTGGTGTGCAATTGCCAAAAACTACAACGGTTAGTTTTTTTGACACTACATTATTTAACAGATGGGTTACTTAAATGCCACGCATGCGCGACTTTCAACATTGCGGACGCGTATAAGTGAAGATTACATCAAGCTGACGTCGCTGCGGTCGCGGGCCAAGTCTTTGCGGTCCGAAATCGAAGCTGTTGGTACGTGTGAAGCGTGTAGCCTTCCTCGATAAACCCACGATTGCTTGTGATGTGCTACCTTTGCAATGTTTCAGACAAAGAGGAAAATGCTCTGCAGTCGTCATTGCGAGCCTGCTCTGACAAAGTCTGGCGGATACTCGGTCGAATAGAGTCACGCAAGTAAGAGAGCTGTCAATGAATTTCCAATCACGAAATTTCTAGCGTCCTTCCAGCTAGTAGTGTTTGTTGTGTCTCCTTGCTTGCATTTCAGAACCGAACTTGACAAGATGCTGCAGCTCTATAATTTGAGGAAGCTTGATGTGCTAAATGATTTGACAAAAACCTTTCCTATTGATGTTGTCGGGGAGGCACCGGTTCTCGGGAAATCTCTCCCTTCCCCATCAGACTATGTGAGTGCAAAAATCGGTTGCTTGTTGTGTGCGTTATGCGTTTTGCAAGCCGGGTGGTAGGGATTTTCAGTGTAACTGAAGTGCAAATGTTCAGGGGTTATAAATTCTCGTTCAGTTATTTGTAATTGCTAATAACTTTTGAGACACCATGTATGTGAACTTCAGTAAGACCGTACCTATCTAGCGTTAATTCTGAATGTGCCCGGCCACAGATAATCGAAATTAGCGTATATAAGGACCACAATTTATAAACTAATGTGTTGAACACCACATTGCCGCTGTCACGATAAAAAAAACCGTTATTGGCTGTTATTCGTTTGCATAATCGGATAGGCTGTTTCCTGAGATCCACTGGGCAAGGGGTTTTTCGTTCACAATTTGGATTCTCTTTCCAATTTAGCTCATGACAATCTGTGGACTGCTCCTTGTTGACAGTGACGCCCCTGGTTTTATAAGCGCCGCACCGCTAGCCTCCTGGGTGGACGTTGGAAACGGGAAGTTGGCGGTTAAGGAGCAGTCGGCGGTTGTGTCCGGGTCGCTCGATGACTCCCTCCGACTTTCCCAATCAATACGCAGTCTCCTCTTGGTAAATAAGCCACAAACAGCTAGCACGGCGCTTGCTCATGTCGCCTCTCTCCTACAACTCGTTTCCTCCGCCCTCGATGTGCCCCTCCGTTTCCCGATTAGGCGGCAGCTTGAATGCGACTTTCAAATCCGCATCGTTGATCCATTTGCCCAGGGTGACGATGAGAGGTGCGTGCCACTATGACTGAAATTCACGCGGGCGGGCGTTTTCATAGCTAAATAATTTTTTTTTCCGTGCTAAGCTTTCCACTGTATGTGCAACGGAACGGAGAGCTGTACCGGTATGCCGTTTTTTTGCTTAACCTTAACATCACAATCCTCCGGAGTTTCTTCAATTTCCCGACTCTTAATCAAAGAGCTAGTTTGTGGAATCTCAAGAATTTCCTGGCGACACACCTTCAATCCATCGATTGGAAACAACTGTAAGCATCAAGCCTATTTTCGCGACTCAAAATCTATCAATATTTTCTCACATTAACTCTTGTTTTTAGATCGCCATGTTTGGAAGACAATAATCACATCAGTGATGCGACCGACAGCTGACACCCACAATCACTCTAAGTGTAAATCAGAAATGCCGACGCGTATTAAAATATGATTGGTATTGTAAAAAAAACTTATTTTACAGATTTCCGGTATTTTCCCTGAATGTACACCCTGTACATTTTGAGAAGTCGTCGCCGATTAACGAGTAGCCTTCTGTCCGTTTTGGCCTCTAACTCTTCCAGACCTTCAGCAGTGAATAACTTTGTGACCTCATCTGTAATGAGAAAAAGTTAAGAACTCGATAAAATCATTGCCTTGGTCAAAGAAGTATACACAAGTGCCGTCACCGCGGGTGTAGAAGTTACTTCCAATACATCTCCCCTTCTTAAAACGCATTTGGGTCATATCATAGCGTCCATAGTCTCTAAAGAAGATTATTCCACCGGGTCTCAAGCAAGATGCAAGATTTTTGATGGTTTGAGGGAAACTACAAGGAATCATAGAATAGCGGTAAGCGACTTGCCTGTCCGGGTTGATAGCTGAGAGGACAAATATGCAGCATATGGCGTCGATGCTCTCAGGGGGGAAGGGCCACGTGAGACCAGGCTTTGAAATATCTTGGCGAAAAGCAAGGCAGTTTTCCGTATTGTATAAGTGGGAATTTTGGACTAGTGACACGGCCTTCTCAGAAAAGTCGCACGCGTACACGAAGGTCTCGTCCACACCGCGCCTTAAAGAAACATTGATGGCGGGTTAGTCTTACCACCGATTTTCAAGTATTGGGGTTACCGAGTTTCCAGCACCACATCCCACTTCGAGTACACGAAGTTTGCTATTTTTCCCAGCAAACGTTGGCGGTCCTGAAGTGAAAGGACCAGAACAAAGTGAACCATCCAATAGTTCAACAAATTCCCGAGGCAGCCACTTGCGGTTTTTGAAAAACTTCGCTTCATGGTTTGCATAAAAATCATCCCAAAATTTAGATGCCTCGTTAATATGTCGACCTGGCTGGATTGTTACATGGCTGCCTCATTAGCTCGTTACCTATTTGTTCATCTGACATAGTTACTTCTGACGCAACATCGACCAGAGCTCGACACTCATTTTCCATCTCTTCCGTCCACTCATAATCATCCCTATCACATGTTATTAAAGCTATCCACAATACCACGCATTTTTGTCAAAAACCTCATCTTCATTTTCAAGACGACGATTCCCGAACGCCGACATGTGAACCCCGACCTGAGGGAGACAAAACTCGCGCACGACCTTGATAAGCAAAGTCAAGCTGTGGAACAACTAACTAATTTGATCACAATTATGAGGTATAAATGATCAAACATTTCTTCTACCCGATAACGCTTTACTACACTGTAGTATGAAGGCCATAGCCTACAAATAATTATGCTTCACTTGGTTTGCAAAATAAGGAAAACATGTCAAATATTTCCCAAACGACGCAAAAAAATTAATTCGCATTTTTAGTTCCTATTCAAATAATATATCTTAAAAAGGGTCAGAGAAGCAATATACTTTGATGCCCAAAGGTATACACAGACAACCACCTCAAAAATAATCCAAATGAATTATATTGCTAGTTAGGTGGATTCGATTATTTGGTGAAACTCCTACAACGTTATTTTTCTTTTTATAATTTTGGTGGTAATGGCAATCAGAAATCAACCCTTTTTTTCTTGATTATGGTTATCATTCTTCATATATAGGTGTAAGATCCGATATGGTTCAGAATTTCTATAAAGACTCAATAATTTTGGTAGACAAAATTTTAAGGAGGTTTTCGAAACAGGTGACGACATTAGACAGATTCAGGCGCATTTAATAAAAATATACATAGAAGAACCACTTTACCCTAATAAGGTAGATTATTTTCATATTACTTATTTAGGGATTCCAAAGTGTGGAGAAAATTTTTGACCTAAGCTTGTGTTATCATATTTTTAAGTTTAGGTTTGAACTAGATCGCTAATGCTCAAATTTTTTGCTTCATAGTTATAGCAGTTTGCAATAATACGACTTTTTGATACCTACTTTTTACCAATACTTTCTGTCGTTAAATTGCCTTTACGTTGTTGAACTACATTAATAATCAGTTGCTTACCGACCCCGCCTTTATCTGTTGAGGACGGTTATGGATTTCAGTTGCTGTGTTTTGTTCTTTGTATGTCTTTTCTGTTTACCACGGATACCTTGTGGTTTCTATATTGGTGTCGGAAAATACGACATAACAGGCCCTGTTGTCAATGTGGCATTTGTGAGTTGTATTATCCATTTAATTCTTTTGAACTCATTGGCGGATCAAATTAATTGTTTTTTTTTGATATCCGTCCTCAAACACAAACGATGAGTATTTAAGACAGCATGTTATTAACATATAATTTAATTTAAGCTTAGTACTGGAGACAAATGACCTTGTTACAGTTGGTATACAATCCACGTAATAGTCTTGTCTGTTAATTATTAACAAGTTGGTGAGCCTTTCTGCGTTTTATTTTTCTAGTGCTTTTATTTTTTTTCTTGTCAAACTTTGCTTTAGAAAATTTTTTTGATATCAACGTTGGCTACTCCACACCTACATTGAGAAAAATAATTTTTGTGTTCTGATTTAACAACATTTATTGGTTTTTTTAAGATTTCAAATAAGTTGATTGATTACATATCAAATCTTAATAGTTTGAGTTGTTTTGACGATTTTCGGAAGCACAACTGCAGTCGGCTACATCAAATTAATTTCTTTTTATTTTTTACATTTGTACTTACACTACACCAATACTTCAGCAAAGTATTTATTAACCTAATGATCGCCCGAAAAATTGACCATAAAATCCTCTCTCAGGCCATTCTTTTTCTGTTTAAAGTTTACCATAAATTTAAATTGGGGTCGTGCTGCCTCATCGGCTTGTCGGTCTCGTTATGACCTCATCATCAGAATTATTTTGCTGAATTATACTTTTTATAGATGGGCTATGCCAACCCCCTTCAAATAGGCCAAGGTTTGCACCTGCGTCTCTACAGCAGGGCATTCGTTATCCAATCGTCTCAAAACGAAAAACCCCTTGTTTTCATCAATCTGGACGCAGGCATGTCCTCACAAGTCCTTAAAACAGAAGTCGTCCGAATGCTCCAGGCAGAATTTGGCCGAGACTTATTTACTCACGCAAATGTCATGATTTCCGCCACTCATACTCATTCCACCCCAGGCGGGTTTTTTCAATATCTACTGTTTGACGTGACAACCCGCGGTTTCTCGAACACAACTTTTAACGCAATGACCCGGGGCATACTGCAGGTTCGTTTTTATGTCAAACTTCAGTGCGCCTCTTTGTAGAGTGTCAAATTGGCTTATCAGTCTCGCACAGAAGGCAAGATTTTAGTTGCCTCTGGGATCCTCAGCAATGCCAGTATTAATCGAAGTCCCCTAGCCTACTTACAAAACCCAGAAAACGAACGGAAAAGGTAGGTCCGCATCCACTTGGTTAGTTGTGCACCTACTTCGTAGTCTTATCATCCATCATGTCAAATATTAGGTATTCCAGTGACGTGGATCTCACCATGACTTTGCTCAAATTCGTGGCCAATGACGGCACAGAACTTGGAATGATTAATTGGTTCCCGGTGCACTGTACAAGCATGAACGGCTCCAATCGATTGGTGAGCAGCGACAATAAGGGCCTAGCCTCGATCATGTTTGAACAATGGAAAACAGGTAGGCCAGCCAATGGAACGTTCGTGGCTGCTTTCGCCCAATCAAACGAAGGCGACGTCTCTCCGAACACCAAGGGAGCCCGCTGCATCGATTCTGGACTCGAGTGTGACGCCCTAACTAGCACATGCAACGGCAGAGTAAGCAAACCCGTTCATTTAAAAACGCTGTTATTTGGTGTTTTTTAGCAAATGGAGTGTGCATGTGTGTTACTTCGCATTTCAGGTCCAAAAGTGCATTGCCTTTGGGCCCGGTAAGGATATGTTTGAGAGCACGCAGTTAATTGCTCGTCGACAATTTGAAAAGGCCAAAGAGTTGTACGCGATGGCAAAAACGGAATTGATTAACTCGGTGGATTTTCGCCATCAATTTGTCGATATGACAAGCGTCACTGTCCACTATCCTCCTGATGGGCATGTACGTTCGTGTCGTTGTTGCCATTCTTAGTCCTATTTGTTTGAGTGAACTGAAAATGAAAGTGTGTACGTAAGTAAGAGCGCGAATTCAAATGCTTAAAAATGTTAACCTAATCGGTTTATGTGAAAATGATGATGGTGATGAGGCGGAAAGAATAGTGGGCAAGAAAAGTGAATCGATTTTTTAGAAAGTGTTAATCTTACGACATATTTAATCATTCGATTCTCAACAATGAGCTACTTTTGATTTTAGCATTTTTAATTTTGTTGTGTTTCATTTATGCAATTTACCATCTTGGTTAATCAAAACGGTATCAAGTATTATTATTCAATTGTTTAAAATCAAGACAGTTTATATGAAATTATCGAAGAATTAGTTGTTTACTTTCGTCGTCTTTTTTGACACCACCTTCTACGTTATTGCTAATCAAGCACAAGGAAAAATTAACGAATAGGGAATGCGAAAAAGTCGAGATTGGAGACCTTCATTCGAGTCTATTTTCCTTTAAACGACCGATCAAATTTTGACAAATCATTCTCGGGATTTTATTGGGTAATTAAATTATACTGCATACTAATTATTAAAAGACAGTTATCTAATTACGTCATATTGATACAATGGAAAGTTATATTTCTCGTCATGGTAAACAAGCTTGTTTGGACAATGCTTTAATTGTTGCCAAAATGGTGATCCCAACCTGACCTCACTGCTGGCACGGATAATGACTTTGTCTGTTGTTTAGTGAGTTAGTATTCTCGTCCAAACCACTAAAGTAGTCGGCAAGACACATCAGGTTAACATTCCAACAGGATTTTCCAATTTAAAGTAACTGAGATACACCCGGGTGATTTCGCACATTTTGGCGGAATGGAAAGGAAAGCTGGATTGTGTTTTCGGGGCAATTTTGTGCGAAAAGGCCGTTTTTCATCACAATAATGCTCAGCCACATATCGCCCAATCGGGTTCTGCGATGAAAAGTGCAATTAATATACTTGTAAAATTTGGGAGATTGTGTACACCTGGAGGATAGATTACTGGTTCATTTCATCTGTGATTTTGGTTTTAATCTAAGGAAACGCAAATGACTGACTTGGCAAGATTTGCCTGATTTTTGATAACCTCATCTATCTACTCCTTCGAATCTACTCCTTCATCTAACCTCCTATCTCATGTTCACATGGCTATTAATTTGAATTCTGGGGGCGACGGAACGGCGACGACGATCCTACTTCGGTTCCTAGAGACCGCCTCTGATTTGACCAATAGCATGCGTTTTCGTTGGTGTTGCTAAGATCCATTCAAGGTCAACAGCGAACCAAATAGCTATACACGCCTAAGTTGTGTCCCCGTTTCTTTGAATGAGCTATAAACTGGGAGATTTTTTGTTTGTCTTCTGTTAGCAAGGTAATTTAACTGGAAGAACGTGCAAGCCGGCTTTGGGATACAGTTTCGCTGCTGGTACAACCGACGGCCCCGGAATTGCCGAATTTAAGCAAGGTAATACTTGCTGGTATCCTGCAGAGTTCACTACTTATTATGTGGTTAGTAGTAGTGTACCGACACTGTTGTTGTACGACAAAACTGTATAAACCGTTCAAAAATGTGGTTAAACTGGTAACCAATTGCGTGCCGACTTTCCGCTACCTCAAATGCGACAGGCCAATAGCATCAACGATTGCATAAAAAGATAAGATAAGATTGGCTCTCTTAACATATGATTTCCCTGTCTCCTTTGTAGGCATGCTGAAAGGCACAGTATTTTGGAATTTTATAAGTTACCTTCTGGCCAAGCCGTCGAAGGACATGATCAAGTGTCACGCACCAAAGCCGATTCTCTTAGCCACAGGTCTGGTAAGAAATGCCTCGTCTTCTTACACTCTTACAGATTTC